TTAATGAGGAAAAAAAATGAATTTGAACGATTGTAGTATCAGGCTGCAACATAACAAAATTAAAAAAAGTGAAGGGAGTCTGAATACTTTCTGAATGCACTGTATGAGGAATCTCCAAGATGGAGAAAGCTAGCTCATTGAAACAGAGAAATATTTGCAGGATTTTTTTTTTAAATTTCTGTAGAAATAGATAAAACATAATTGTCAGAAATGTGTGCTACTTTTTTAATTTATGTTTTGTAAGTTGTGCCAAATCTCACTACTTCCAACACACGATCACATCGCTTAGTGATAGCAATCCCTGCAGTTCTGGTTGCCATTGTTAACTGAATCCCACTGTTGTTAGGCGAGGAGGTTTGCCAGCTTCCCACAACCAAAGTCACTAGGGAAGCCTGCGGGAAGTTGCAAATCCCAGGCCGGCAGGCAGGTAACTAGCTGCTGCTGGGTGGGGGAGGGAGCAAGTGGGGTGTGGAGATGCAGGAGAGGGGAAAGGTGCGCAAGAGGTGGGGGAGGGTGCAAGGGGGGGCACAAGAGGTGCAGAGTAGGTCAGGGAGGGTACATGAGAGCGCTAGAGGTGTGGGTTGGGGAGGATTCAGGGGGATGTGTGAGAGGCGCAGGTTGGGGAGGCTGCGCTAGAGACATGGTGTGGGTCACGGAGGGTATGAGGGGGTGCACGAGAAGTGCCATGCAGGTCCAGGAGGGTGCACAAGGGTCCGTGAGAGGCATGGTGCAGATCAGGGAGGATGTGAGGGGGCGCACAAGAAGCATGGGTCAGGGAGGAAACCTCTATTTTCACCCACACTGTACTTCAAACTGTTTTCACAAAGATACTTTTTTTTCCTTGGTGTCTGTCATGATCTGTAATAATAAGTGGAAACCTGTCCAGTCTCTTTACAGAGACTTTGGGCACAGAATGCTCCCTTTCTATTAGTCTAGTCTCTCTAGAGTATGGTATTTTCTTTTAGATTTTTATTTTTGAAGCTAATTTGTAAGCTGCTATATGACTATGATCTGGACAGCTCTGTAATCACATTCCATGTTGAATATCTACCTTTTCATACTATGTTTAAAAGTAGCTTTTGTTTTTTACATTTTACATTTTCTGTTTTTAATAAAGTTCGGTTCTGTATATCTCCTGTGGGACTGGTTTGTCTCTCAAGGGGGGAGGAAGGGCTGAATCCTCTAGCCACCATTGCTGTACCCTATCCAGCAAGGAGATGGCACTATGTTATTTCAACTTCTGTATTTTGATATTTTAAAAGGCAGCAAAGGAGGTGACAGCCTTTTCCCTTCACACAGACAAGGAGTTGCATGCCAAGTGAGGCAACCCCTCGCCTAACCCCATAAAATGGATTGTGGCAGCAGGAATTACCAAGCCACTAACCCAACAGAGGTAGGACCAGAGTATAAATATCCAGAGGCCCTCTGGAAGAGGTTTGGGACCTCCAGCCATCAGCAATTCATTATAGGCTACCTATAGAGAATAAAAATGTATTGCCTTTCTATTCAGTATGCTTAAAATGCTGATTACTTTATGATTAAAGTAGCATCGATGCTGTAAACAATAAATTATTTCTGGTAATGGCTTGGTCTCTTGTTCTTTGGCTCTTATTTTCTTTCACAGCAATGCAAGAGTACTCACTTTTTAAGTGTGAATTACTTTTAAAAGTAAGGTGCCAGACTAGTAAAACTTAAATCTTTTTTCAGGGGCAGACTGTTCTGTTTAGTGTTCTGCAGAAATTTTCACCTGAACAAATCATCTTTAGATTAGTGTATAAAAAGCTGAGAGAAGCTTTTCGCAATGCTCAGAAGTCAAATGTTGCTATGTAAATGACAGTGGAAAGCTCATCACTCAGTTTTGCATAAAAAGATTAAGAATGGAAAGGCTTGTTTTGTGGAGTGTGTTATTAATTCATTCAGCGACAGACTCTTCAATCAGTAACCGTTCAGGCCTGAGAGGCAGTGCTGAAGGAGAAATCTTAGCAGAACTTGACAAAATCAATGTAATCACTGCAGGTTTTTTTTTTCAATGAATTGAATCCACAGCTATGATTTCTGAAGGACTGGAAGGAATGAAAAGAAAACCCAAGATGTAAAAAGGATAAAATGGGATTGCTTAGTCTCAAAAATTGACCAAATGGGTTGTTGCCTTGTAAGAACATGGCTCTTTAGTTAGGACAATTTGGCATTTAATCCAGCCTTTTGTTTCCAGCAGCTACCATGAACCCATAAACCAGAGATGAAGACAACCCATGCCCTGTTTCTTTAAACGCTTTGCGAGCAGGAAAAACACAGCAGCTATTCTTTATACTGACATAAGGAATACTACCACTAGGTGCCAGACATGAAGTACAGCCCTGATGGTTCCAGAAGGTTACAAGGAGCCTACAGCTATTTTAAACTTATTTTCTATTCCCTGTGTCAGTAAGTTAAACAAGGCTTTCTCCCTGGGATTACATATGCAATGTGTGTAAGAGCCCCTTAGCCTGCAGAACTCAAAGAGATGTCATTTGGTCTAATCCTCCTTTAATGTCACCTAGTCCTGAGTGACCATCTCTGCATTCTAGGTGGGCAGGATGCAGTTCTGCAGAGAACAAGGAAGACTTCCTCAGAGCATTTAGCCAGCTTCATTTGGTCCTCTGCCTCTAAGCAATACTCTCTTTGCAGCTTAGTTTTTGATTGTTGCGTGTCTCTGAATGTATAACAGACAGAAGAAAGAAAACCAGAACATTTTTTCTTTGAAACTGTTTTTTAAAGAAACTGCATACATCCAAGACAATTTAAATACCATGCAGTTTCAGTATGTACAAATTGAAACTCTAAGATGTAGAGATTCGCTTTAGTGTTTTCTCTAGATATTTACATTTTATCATTGTTTTTCATACAGCCATAATCTGTTAAATTACAATACTGGAAGATCACAGTCTTGACTGTCACCACATTCACTCCTATACAAAGACAAAACTATGTACATACACTTGACAGGAAGAGAGCCCGGGAAATGTACTGGTTTCAGAATAACTTGGAGAGCAACTGGAATCCCATTTCTAGTTCTGCAACCATTAAATTAAACTGCCTAATCAAGCTGGAGATGGGTCTAACTTGCAACCCTGTGTGCCTTTTTCAAGATTTGCAATCATTACTCTTTCATAGACATTGAGGGGAAAAATGGTTCCTCCAGGAGTGGAAAATTGCAGATGTTTGTGTGAAACCTTCATGTGAACAACAGAGGCTTAGAAAGCAAAGATAAATATAAGCTGAATATGCTAGGAAAAAAGGACTTTTCCTTTCTCCATTTATATGAAATATATCTTACTCAAGCCCTGGTGAAATGAATGGGAGGAAGGCAACAAAAATACTATGTTTTGCCCATCCCCACAAATTTTGGTGGTGAAAAAAGTTAAATTTGGCATGGTAGTGAGGTACACTCCATTATTTCAGCTGACGCTGTGTAGGAGGAACAGCAAAGAATTTAGCTGACTGTGTTCTAGAAAGACCAAACACCATGCAACCTTCAAAAGTAAGCTATTTTTCACCAGAGCTTCAGGGAATAATCAGTTATTTAAACATTGAGTTGGTGGGACTCCAGCTGATAACTTCTACTTTTTGAAAATGGATAGAGTTTTGCTCAATGCAACAATTTGCTTGTATAGGTGGTAGGGATTGGTATGAAACCTGAAAAGATTTGTATGCAGAAAGCAAAAGCACTCTCTTCCTCCATTTTGTAAGGTAAACTATATGGTTCCGTTGTATGCGTGAATTATGCCCTATCTCTTGACCACATCCGTATCCCTGCACAGAAAGAATCAAGGGGTTACTATTCCCTGTGTCTTCCAGCATGCACAAAAATGCTTTCGCTCTTATGGAAGAGCGACCTGGAGGATGAGCAAAGTGGAGTTAAAGTCATCTGGAACTCCCATTTAGATGTGCAGACAGGATCAGTTCTGCAACCCATTATTTCTTCTCAAAGTAAAAGAAAGAGGAAAAGGGTGGGAGGGGGAAGAATAAGACTTTGAACATTGGGGAGGAGCTTCACTCAAGGGTTGGTGGGCTGAAAGGCTGGTATGGTGGGCAAGAGGTTCTCCACCCTTTCATAATGCTATGGAACTATGACAGATAAAGAACTGGCTATATTAAAATGACAGCTTTCAGGGTATGAAAAACAGGCAGCTTGTCCACCTTAAATTTGCTTTGTGCAAACTGGGCAAATGAATTAAAATTTTCACTACCCTCCCATCTCCACAAACCTAGCAGTTCACCCTCTACATGCCCACCTACTTGATCTGCTGACCATTAGTGGTGTCATAATCTCTTTATTTTTTGCAGATTTTTTTAAACAATACATGTCCTTTTATCTAAAAACAAAGTACTCTATTACTTCATCTCATCTTTTTCTTGTACTCAGAATAAGATCACTAGACAAAACTATTCTGTGTAAGGAAAAGAGGATTTTTTTTAGTCTAGTTTAATGACTTCTTCAATGGAATTCTGAGGATTGTAATGGGCACTGCAGTGACTCAGGTTTTATTGTGAAGAGAAACCTGAATCACTGCAGTCACCCATTAAAATGTGCTTTCATATACATATTTTCCAAAAGAAAATCAATCAATCCAATCACTATGGATTGGATCCAGATTTAATCATAAACAGATGAAGCCCACTCCAATCAACTGAAGTTAAGTAGCCATCACTTTAGAGTAGACCCACTGAAATCAATAGAACTTAAATCATTGCCAACCTAAGCCCCATTCATTACAGGAGGTCTCCTCTAAGTACAACCACATTTGGGTCCCAGATTATACTCTTACACCAGTGAAAGTCTGAGAATTAAAGCTGCCATATCTATAATGATTTGTTTGGGATGGGCAAAAGGCTCATTTTCTGAAAGAGGTTGAAGTTTCTGGCTAAAAGGCATAATCAGATATGTTTAATTTGAACTAGATATGGATGCCAGTAGGTATCACCAAAGTGTTTTGATACAGTGGGTTCATAATTCTTTCCAATGTGCAAAGATCATCTTATTTTTTAAGATAAGACCAATACCTTAAAAATAAAATAATAAAATAAAATATGATGATGATGATGATGATGATGATGATGATGATGATGATAATAATAATAATAATAATAATAATAATATCACACCTCTAGCCTTTTGCCAAATGCTTTGGTTCTCAATTTAAGACTGAGCCATTCACAACAGCATACTTCGTTATTTATATCAAGTAGCATTCTACAGAATAGAAATCCCTGCTGTTAAAAGAAAAAAAAAATCAACATCCAGGCATACAGCATAAAGTCAACTCTATAGTTCTCTTTAGCTCATGTCTTTTCTGTCTTGCACGTTAGAGAATTGGAAGAACCCATGTAAAGCTGACAGGCCACTTGGCAGAACTGCTAGGCTATCCAACTGCTACACAGGACCATATGAAACATGAAGTAGTTAGCAGGGCAGAAGGCAGCATGACATGTTCCACGGTAAAAAATAAGCTTGTTATGAAAAGTTCTTGTATCTTGAACTCTTCCAAATGTTACAGCAAAAGAATCATTCAAAGGGAAGAAATGGATAGCGAGGAATCCTTCTTGGTCCTGTAGAAAACAAAAGGATGATACCCAGCCAGCCCGAAGATCCTCCTGGGGTGGGGCTTGGAAAGTCAAAGAGGAATGGATCCTTGGAGTGGGATCTTGTTCCCCAGCTCACCCCTATCATCTTTCTAAGGTGCTCCGTACAGAATGAAATGTTTGGTAGAGATGTTGATCCAGAACAATGAGCTTGTGTCTAGCAGAGCTTCTGCCAGTGGCAAATACCAAGGGCCTCAGCTTTCTTCAGAGATGAAAGAGGACTGAAGGGATCTGGAGAAAGACCATTTGTGTGAATGGCTGGGGGAATCCACACAGCAGCATTTAAAATATAAGTGCCAACTCCAGGCATGATTCTTGCCAGGATAGTCTCAGTTGCCAAATGTTGTGCCAACAGATTATATGGTGAAGTTCTTCCCAGGATGAGAAAACTCATGTTTTCTGCATGTTTTTATAGGTTTTAAAAAGGCAGTTCAGAAGATTTACCACTGTACGTAACAGAGAAATGAATGAGATCAGCACTTATGGTTCTTTTCCGTTACGTTCTCAAGACGGCCACACATTTAGTTCCTATGGTCTGTGAAACCTAAAAAAGTGAAGAAAAAAACCCAGACAAATGAAATGGATTATTACCAGCATTAGCACCCATACTCAGAAGAATCAATGTGACAAAAACAAACAAACAAAAACTGGCTTGTAGTAGTTAAAAAAAAGGAGGTCTATTTAGTATAGTGCTTTAAGTAAAGGATGTGACAATTTTCTTGCCTCAGAAAATGGCAGAGACTCAGACCATAATAGGGCTGACTCTCACAGTAATCACTGACTCAACAAGCTACAGATAGGACATGTGAGAACATATAGCACTCGTGTAAATATCATACACAAAATAGCCTTTCCCAACCTGACATGCCCCAAATAACTTGAAGCTGTAACTTCCATAACTCCCAGCCAGCAGTCCCAACATATCTCATGGATGCCAGGCTCTAACAGACCCTCAAATTGGAAGGCAGGGCATAAATCTTATCATGAATTTATGGTAAAAGAATTTGGTGAGTTATTTTTGTCAGGTGATGTAAATCTGAGGGTCCAGATGAGGAACAAGGAAAAAGCAAGAGAAAGGGAACTAAGGAGAAGCACAGTATAATATGGAAACAATGTGAGGATTAGGTAAATAGGAAGCAGTTGTTGAACGTCTAATTTATATCCCACTTTTAATCACATATCTCTGGATTGCTTCACATAATGCAGTTTGCAGAGTGAGGTTCTTCCCACTCCAGGTGGTAGAAGAGAAACTTCTTTCTCTCTTCTACCTACCAGGACTTAATGCATTTCCCCATGGAGAAATGCAAGACTTTCATGTCTGCATATTATTAAGAGCAGTACAAAGGCCAGGTTCAGCAGTGGAATCTTTGGGGCATTCTAGAGAACCTCCTAGGAAGAAAGCTCTCTCCATCTGAGGCATATGAACCAACAACTGAAATGCTAGATTCCTTCAAGTACTCAATAATATGCTTCTTCCCTGCATACAGAGTATCAAGTAAACTCAAGCCCACTCACGTAGGGCATGAGAAGGGGTAACCAAGCATGGGTGTGGCTAGCGCCCTGAAGATGCTCTATAGGTTAATAATTTTCATTTACCATCAATTCCTTGGAATATATTATACATTATCCTTGGAGCTGTGGTGTAAAATCTATACTCAACATTATGCTTTCCAACATTATGCACCTGGCATAGCCACCCCTTGGACAGTCAGACATCATGCTTTGGCTAGTCTGGGCATATGGCATCAAAAGTAGGGACCAGAAACATGGTCCTGCCTTGTCTTTAATATAATCCTACTTGCTTTAAGAGTTTTGTCAAAATGTAGAACTAAGGCAAAACTTAAGGTGGGATGGAAGGGCCATCTATGGACAGAGGTAAGCAATCTGGTGTCCTCCATATTCTACTAATCAGTTGCTTGCTAAAGCTAATGGGAGTTAAAATCCCTGAAATTTGAAGATATCCAATTATATACTTTTGACTGTTTGGAATCAAGAGACTATAACGAAGTTGAGAATACAGATTAATTCTGTTTGAGGGAATATAAAGAGGGCAAACTGTCATTCTTTCCTCTTACAATTACAGAGTGAGAGCTGAGCTTTGGTGAAACCGTAACACCAGTATTCAAAATGTGAGGCTAGAATGAAACAAACAAAACCCTAAAATGTTTATACATAAAGAAAAAAAATACATTCAACAACTTGAAAATCAATATTATGAAGTTCAAATCCACAAAGAATTCAAGCCCTACTGGTTTCATCTTGGCTGAAGCAAGAACTTCTGTCCAAATAAATAGGAGTTAATGGAGGAAAAATAACCCAGTTAATGTGAAAAAATAATATTCTTTGGATATTTTGTGATGCAGTGTGGAAGGAACATCAACAGTTTCAAGTGCAGAACATGATTCCCAGACTGGCTAAAGCATTTCTAGGAGATCATTCACTATGTTAATACTGGTTAAAATGTTGAGATGGGGCTGGTGACTCAGGTTCAAGGCTACCCTCAGCCATGACAACACCTTGGGTGATTTTGAGTCTGTCTGTGTCTCTCAGCCCAGCCTATCTCAGAGGTTGTTGCTATGGGAATAAAATATGCTGCCTTGAGCAGGAGAGAAATCTAACAAATAAGATAAATAAATAAGAAATAATTTAGGAATGGCCTCAAACTTGAGTGGTTTTTAAGTTTTTTTTTTAAAAAGTAGCCTGAGCAAAATATGAGGTAAATTGGGCTAAAAAGCTGAGCTGTGGCTGGTTTTTAGACTAGATTTTGTTTAAAAGAGTATTCTCTTACCTTGTTAAATGCCTGCTTAATTCATGAACTTCCATTTCAGTGCTTTTAAATTCGTTTAGCTCTTTGCGAATTGCTGCCTGCATGTGACAAAAGAATGAGCACATTACCAGCTGAAAAGAAATATGTGAATAAAACTATCAATGTAAAAACAAAAATTGCGCCATTAATGAGAAAGCAAACAATGTGCAGAACTTTCAGAGATGAATAGTGCCTTCCAAGTAAATAGAACTCAAGATATTCTGTGACAGCTTTGACATCTTGGTAGAATCAAATAATATTTACAAGCATAATATGCCGCCTTCCAGATCCTATTCATAATTGCCACAGTTTAGCAAGTCTTTCCCGCAACTCTGTTATACATGCATGGACCCAGTTATTTGAGACCTTCCAGATCACTAGATCATCCCATGATTTTACAATGAATCTTAAGTTATTTTTAGTTATTGGGGGTTTTTTTTGTCAGATCTAATCTGATATTCATAGTGCTATAATCATGGGCTTACAGTATCTATATCTAGAGCTTGCAAAGGTCCTCAGTCAATCAGTGCTCACCCCTCACTGCCTCCAAGCTGACCAATTCTGAATGCTTTTAAGCTTACCAACAGGTCTCTTCGCCCCCCCCCCCGGCCAGGCACTGGGACGTCAGTTGGCAAAAATCCCCTCATTTCCCCTCCACAAAAATAAATCAAAATGTCTTGCTGGTGCACTCCCCAGTCCTTGCATTTATCTCAATATGTTTGTCCTCATTGGTCTGATAGATTATAAAAATTTCTAGGAGGCTGAGAGATGATGATGGAGGCTGAGTGCTTTTTTTCTTTTTCGTTTTGAAAAGGAAACAAATACTTCTACTTCTGCATATGTCAGCTCCATGATGAAAAAGTAAGAGGCATGTTCAAACATTGTTTACTGTGATGGTGACAATAATATATAACTAAATGTGCATTCAAAAGCCTTTCTGAATTAAAGGACATTTAACTATGAACAATATGTTTGCAGACACCAGAGCGTTTGGAGCCCCATGAATAACACACACAAAATTCTACAAAGGGTGCAGGAGAACGTTGATTACAAATATTACAGTTATTTTCTAGATTCTGACAGAAATGAATTTTTGAAGTGCTACAAAGGGACAAAAAGAGGAAGGCAATTAAGAAAACAGGACACTTGATGGGCAGGAGAAGCTTAGCAAAAGTTCTTAATGTCATAACAGTGTTGGCAATATTTGATTTTGGAAGAAAACATCCCTCCCCCCCCCCCGCTTTTTATCATTTAAGAGAAAGCAGCGAAAGTGAAGAAGAGGTAGTTGTAATCAAAGCATATGGTTTTAGTAGAAGCAGGCTGGAACTGCATCAACTTTTTTAGCTGCATCATACTGCTATCTCATTTTCTTTATCTTCTTTACTTTTTAAACCACTTTTCAAAGTTTTTTTTTTTTAAAAAAGAATACCCATTCCAAAGAAGACAAAAATTATTAAACACAAAAATAGCAGATGCCCTGCCGTGCAACACGGCCAGGACTATGAGCCAGAGTGTTTCAAATGTAATTATCACTAAGTTATGGATTGCCTTTGGCCAGCAACCCTTTTTTAACCTGTGTCAGTGATACATAAAATGGAGTACATGACAGTTCTGTCTGAAAGGTCTGTTTTAAGGATTAGTGAGATAATTTTGGAGATATGATCAGGATATCCGGTGCTTTATTTTAATTTGTGTGTGCGTGTGTGACTTTGAGTCAGATGTTTTGTTTTATCTTTACTCCTGGCCACTGCCTGGACAAGTCCCTGCAGTTTTCTTGGCAAGGTTTTTTGAAAGTGGTTTGCCATTGCCTGCTTCCTAGGGCTGAGAAAGTGTGACTGGCCCAAGGTCACCCAGCTGGCTTTGTGCCTAAGGCAGGACTAGAACTCACAGTCTCCCACCTGATGCCTTAACCACGACACCAAACTGGCTCTCTATTTTAAATGTAGTGTGGAGCTATTCCTATGTTTGTTTATACTAAGTTGCCTCAATAAAAATCAACACATGAATACAGAGGGAAAAAAGTAAAATATTGGGTTTAAATAGCCATAAATTTTGAAAGTACAATCTATGACATTTTGCCAAAATGGGAATGGAATCATTGTCTCAGTTGAGAGCTAAATACTCAGAATCAAGCTAGGTCACTGCAGAGAGCAACTCCAACATTTTGCATCATTTAGCTTTCATGTTTTTAAAAGAGAAATAGAAATGTGAGATCCAGGGTGCTTGAGCAAGAGAAGAGGGAAGCAATCTTATTCTTTTCCTTTGCTCCCATCTCCACATTCTGCTAAAGTTGCTTTGAAGAACTTTGCAGAATCATCTCTATAATGATTAGGCAGAATAATAAATAAATGAACAGATTTTTATAGGAAGTATTTCAACTATATAAAAAATGCTGACTCCATGTTATATTTTATGAAGTTACTTGGTTAATTCCTAGGTTTTTGGCTGAAATTCAAATTTCCAAAGCACACAAGTCAAAGATGTAATCTTTTTTGTTTGTTCTTTGTACTGTGTTATGAATTAAAAACATAAAGAGGGAATTGCCATAAATTCTTTCTTTAATGGCTGCTGAAATCAGAAAATACTGCTTGGGTTGGATTTGAAAGAAGTAGTAATTCATAGAGGAGGTCAAACCTGTTTTATATTCTTTTTGATTTTTAGTGGAAATAGTAGTTCATAACAAGTAATATGACAAGATGATCTTGAGAAGAATGATTATGACTCCTCCACTGTTTTACTAAAATGTTTTGATGTCTTCAGAGCTGTTCCAGAAGTTTATTTATTTATTTAAACAAATTATATGGCTGCCCAACTCACTCATGGTGACTCCAGGCGGCTTACAGGAATAAAAATCTGTATTTTTTACAGATACAAAATACAAAACCCACTCCACCCCCTGGCGATAACAATACATTTACACTAGCCATTTGATGGACTCCAGGTCAACCTGGGATCCCCAGGCCCGCTGACAAAACCATGTCTTCCAGGGCCTTGCAGAAGTTACCATATTATGTAGGCAGACAGATGGGGTCCAAATCATCTCTCCCTTACTCCTATAACTCCTATCGTTTTCTGGTAATATTATTCAAGACCAAAGAAACTCAAATTTTAACTGAATGGTTCCCAAAATATGGTCCAGAGAGCAAAGATGATCCATGATAGTATTGGTCAAAATCATGTGAAATCACCCAAGCTTACAAGATCTTTGCCTTCCTCACTTGAAATCTTGTGATTTTTTTCGTGGAATATTGAAAATCATTGTTCTAGTACACACGTGTTGTAGCATTATTACTAGGGCTGTTTATTTTTCCTCATAGACTTTATGATGACAGAAGAACAGATCATATTAAAGGCATGAGCTAGCCCAAGTTAAGCATACTCAGTTGATTTCAGTGAGAGAAAAGTATGTGCTTAACTTTTCCCTCAATGGGGTTTGAAAGGCTGTATTCTGAGATACCTAATTAAGCTCAATTTGGAGATAAAACAGTTTTAAAGAAGGGTGAAAGCTGAAAGAGATTCTTCTCTTAACAAGCACACTGCTTTTGATAATCTTTGATTAAGAGGGGTATTTGGAGTCCTTCAAACACATAAAACCTCCTAAAACTTGTTTGTAAGAGGGAGAAGAGGGATGATTATATGCATACTGGAGAAGAGAAATATCTACATATATTTCTCCAATCAGATTGTTCACTTATTTAGTGATTTCTAACCTGTCTCTGTACAGTGAAGGGTTCTCATCCTTCTCCAGATGAATGGCCAGGTGGCAACATACATAGATGATGATATCTCTTAAGATGGTGGTACATAAACCAGAAATCAAACTGAACATCACCATTAAGAAGACAAAAACATAGACTGCTTAACCTAGTGCCTCAAGCAATATGAACTGCAGTGGCACTTGTGCTCATTGGCTGGCTTTGTGGCATACCTAAGTGCCACAGGAAGAATTGGATTTTTAAAATAATTTAGTGCTATATTTTCATGTCATGTGCAAAACAGCTTGCAAAATATATGCCTCTGATGCTCAGCAAAAGGAGAGGCCTCCTGGTACTACTGGTCAAAATGTCTTGTGTGCAATGCTACTGTCTTTCTCTCCTTAACAGGGTCCTTCTACAAAGTTAAAAAACAAAAACCAACCAACCACATGTACACAACAGGAGCCATGGGAAACCACAGGACCATTTCAAATGGAAGAGGACAGCATCACATTCCTGTAAATGTCAGTAAATGAGGAACTGTTATCGTAAGAATAAGACTTGTGTGGAAGCACCAAAATAATTATGCAAGTGCAAGATAATGTGTGGAACCAAAAATAAAAATGTAAAGTTGGTAGGAATAGAGGAGGGGAAAAAATACCACATGATTCTGGCTCTTCCTGGTAGGTCTTCTTATGAGCTTCCAGCTGGCAAAGCTGATGCTGTAGTCATGGCTACAGAAAATAAATTTAAACTACATCTTCTGGTTACTGGACTCCACCAAAAACATCTTAGGACTTTCTTTAACCTCTCAGCTGTTTCTGAGGCTTGTCCTACTCACCTTATCAGCTGCCGTTAGCCTTGTCCATGGTTTATCTGCCCGTCTGTCATAATCCTGAGCATCTGCCACTTCTACGTAATCACTAAAACGGATGAGGATTTTCCTCTCTCTCAGCTCTTCCACTGTAGGCCTTTGACTTAGCTGTAGGAGGAGAAAAATAGGGAAAGAACCCCCCAAATGTCATTCTTTCCAAAAGCCATTTCCAAATTTCTTAAACGAAAGAGCTTAAAAAAAAAAAGGCTGCTTAATTTTCAAGTTAATTTTAGTGCCTAGCAACTATTATCTGCTGATAAATATTAGACAAACCCTTATATCATGCAAAGTGGGATCAAGAAGACACAACCTCAAAAAAGGGGGTGTGAGCCCCAGGATCATATGTAGTTGACAGCCTAATTTAAAAGCTGTTCTAAAATAATCATTTTAAACTTTGGAAACATGAGTAATCCCATCCTAGCAAATGATTGCATGTGGAGGAAGAGAGAAAGAGGGCACCTACTTCTGGAAAAGGTGCTACCAGTGTGTTCTTAAGCCTCATTTGCATTGGGTAAGCAACATAGTCCTAGATAAATTAGTCCTATAGGAATGTAACCATTGTCCAAAAATGTTTGCTCACTCCTGCTATGAAATAAAAAGTTTCTCCCTGTTCAGTAACAGTGGAGTGCTTCCTTTAAAACATCAGGACTCCAACTGATTTATTGAAACTCATTCTAACGTTCAGGAACTTCTGATCATAGCGCTTTCTCAGTGCCAGCATTATGGAAATGCAGCCATCTAACTGGCAAGATCTCTGTCCTATATTTGAAGACAGTACCAAAAATGTGAACCAGTCCACAAGATGGGAAGGGGACAGCTGGAGGCAATTATGACTTTGCTTTCTTGTCATTTGTCCCTGTGATACAAATTTTGCTTTGTGTCATTTGCCATTTGCTGATTTTTAATGGCTAGTTTAGATTAAGTAGCTCAGTGATATTTCCTCAGTATCTCATAGCAGTACACAATGAAGGGACTGAATTCTATAAATGAAATTTCATTGGTGGCACTGAACTAGGGAAGAGTTAACAATGTGTATTTGAATAAGCAATGTACAAATGCAGTCAATACCCTATAGCTTACATCTTCCACTCTAACTGGATAACATCTAGTTCTTACAAGCTAGACTACACGTTGCTTGGAATCTGCTGGTCTCCATCTCTGTAAGTCTATCTGAATCTTCTGTAGTAAGCTTGAATCCTAAGATGGAAGCCTCTAGCCTATAGACAAAGGAAGGATGGTGATCAATGCCCCTGGCAGAAGGTCATTTCATCTATCTTATTTGTGACTTCTGTGTGGTTTTCCATAGTCCATTACTGCTAATTCATTTGGAACGTCATGTAAGGAATTTTAAATTTCTCTCTCCAAGCTACCTGCCCTAAGCTATTGATGTATTTATTCGGTGCAATGGTGACAAGAAACGGTTTGCATTTCTTTTTCTTTATGAAGGAGAAATAGGCATGTATCCCACCACTTAGATTTGTATAAAACCACTTCATGCTTCTCAGGCACATCAGACTGTAACTTTCGTTATTGCCACTCAACAGAACTAACGGTGGAGCTGTACCTGAAAACTTGAAGAACCCTGATATGACATTTCTCCTACATTTGCTCTTTTCTGGTTCTTTTGTTTTCTCCTTTTTCTTTGCACCTTCCATAATTAAATCATTTCTCATCTAACTTTTCTCAGACATTGTTTTCGTAATGTTATTTCACCTGTTTTCTTTCCCTTTTTCTAAATCTTACCATCACAAACCCTTTTGCTTGACTCATCTACAAACCTTTTCTTAAAAACTCTTTCCCCTCCTACTCCTCCTTTTCTGAGCAAAACTGTCCTCCACATTTCTTCCCTTTGTTAGACTTTTCCAGGTTGTTTGCCTCTTCTTTTTCACTGTTCCTCCCCGTTTCTCCAACAGAACTCTCAAACAGAGGCGGGTACTTTCAGCTGGAACGCTCTTTGCGTTACCAATTGAAAAGCAAAGCTATCCATCTTTCTTTACTTATTTCCTGGTAAAGAAAACAAAAGATGGATTGGAAAACTTGGGACAATTCCAAATCAAAGACAATGAGGCTTTCCGGACCTTCATTTCATGAGCCTTTACAATGTGTGTTTCAGTGAACTCAGAACGTTTTTGGATTCTCCCTGTCTTGTTCTGATCTATGCTGAAGTTCATCATGAGCATGGTTATATTTTTATGATTCAGAAAAATAGCAGAGAATGTCAGCTAATCAACATCTACATTAATTGCTTCCAAGGTATTCAATGACCGAGTAGCCTCTGTGCCACCACGGGTGCGTTGAGTTGTGAATGAACAAAAATTTCTATCTTCCAATAAAATAAAATAACATATCCCCACCCCCAGATCCATTTATTTATCTTACATATCTCTACCTGTGTATGTCTACATTCATCTGACACTTGATTGGAAAAAAAAACCTTCTGAGAGGCGGGTCTGCAAGGGATGATGTTGAAGAAAAATCAGTGGTAAAAAATATAGTATAGTATCTCCATGGCCATTGTCACACAGCAGTAAAACTTGCATGCAGAAGCTCTTCTGATTGGCTCATTTATGGGACTCAGTGTTCAAGCCTCTATTAGAGATGCCCTTCTGAATGTGGAAAGGGATAGTGAAGGAAGATCAGCATAAAGACTGCAGATGCAACATCAGGATATGTTAGTGAGAAAGTAGTTGACTTTCTACCTCCACTGAGAATCACAAGCTGCAGCTACTTGTTTTAAAAAGTATATTCAAATAAAAATGTTTCCCAGCTAAAGGTAAATCCCTCTGGAACTTCTTCATTAAGGGTTACCTGGAAGAGAACCACAGAGCTATGGGCTGCTTATTGATACGCTCAGATCTTATTCTCTCTCTCCCTCCCTCCCTCTGAAGAAAATATTGAGTATTACATGCCCAAAGAAAATCTGAGCTTTTTGGAAAACATACATAAAAAAAAAATCTTAGTAGTTCTACAAAGTACAAAAGTAAAAGCACATGAAAATTTGCTCTGTGTTGTAGACTCACTTGTTATGTAGGGATTTCCTTCTCACAGTGTTAACTTTGAAGTGCATGCATCAAAGGCTACATTTTTATTATTGTTGTTGCCACTATAGTAACCCCAAATGATTATTTATTTTCCATCTGCTCCTAAGCCAAATAAGCAAAAAAAATCCCCTGAAATCTCTTTTTAAATATCAGTGATGGGACTATGAACTCAAATATGCAAAGGTAAATTTGATTTGTGCTATCTTTGTTCATGTTAAAATGCCATTCTTCTTCCACTTTTGACATACATTAAGGATATGTTTAAGGATTATACGTTAAGGATTCTGTTGCTATTACTGAATGTCAAAGCTTCTGACAGTTTATCACTGAATGTTATTTAAATGGAGCAAGACTTTAAAAAACACTATTTATATTTTGAAAATGACAAATGATCAAAGTAGATAACTTGATGGTCCAAAAATAGACTTAGCCTACAATCTTGCCCATGCTGAAGAAAAAGAAAAACTTTGCATGGTCATATAAAGAAATATCATTGCTACCAGGAAAGTATATATTTGGGAAATGAAAGGAAGGTAATATTTCAATATTGTATCATAAGCCAGGACAGTTCCACTAAAGTAAAGAAACAATCAGTGAATTCAGACAACCACTTGTTGGTTTGCTGACTACTTAAAAAATCTTTCACTGCACAGCTCTAACCAGGTAGAGAGCCAATCATCTACAACATTTCAACATATACTGAACTGAATATTATAACTCTACAATATCAAAGAAGCCCAGAGAACTGGATCTCATGAGCGACTGGCTGTCCATATGATACACTCTGAGACGTTACATCAGTCATTCTTCAGAGATTATCTGAATCTGGCCAAGGCTGTGTCACTGTAGATCAGGTTGTAAGTGACCAATTTTGGCACAACTACATTGCAAATCTTAAGATAATGACACACCATGCATATTCACTCAGTGCAATTCATGAAAATTGTGCTTTGGAGTATGTCTCGTCCACACTTGCTTTTCTATCAAGTCATGGAGCCAACACCCATGCAGACAGGTTTGTGGATCTGGCTTTACCAAAGCCAAGACTGTAACTGGCACATCCAAGTACAAAATTTTACTGTCTGAGTTATCAGCTGGCTATTATACATGAACACCAAGGAAAGCTACTTTTCATACATTTTCTGCTGATATTCACTTTAAATGTTTCTATTACTTTACAAACCAATATTCAGTAAGGTCCTATTTCCTTGTCTTCATAACAAAGTAGACCCAAATATAAAATAACATCCATAGGGAAAATATTATGCAGAGAAAGGCACATTAAGGGTAGTAAGTGTGCTATGGCCATATCTGTATTGTTCTAACTTTCTGCTGTGTTGTATCTGCACAGTGCAGGAATCAGTCATCAGAGAATTTAAAATACAGCAAAAAACCTCCATCCTATTTGGGTTAAGACATCATGGCTAGGGCTCAGATCTGTGTCTGTGTCTGAGAAGACAACCAGGAATGAACCTGGGATCCTTATTCTGACAAACTCCAAACTCTATTCCCTTTTTAAAGAAATACAAGTGAACCAAATGTAACATCTCTTTCTGTTTTCTCACCTAATCTTTTTATCCTTTGGTTAGTCACACCACTCTCAAGATCCCATTATTTCTAACATTCCTTGCTGACTTGAGCCAATACGAGGTCAGCAAAGAAAATTTGCTGGCCTTCAATTCATTTCTTTGTATTGCTTAGTTTTCTAAACGGGAAGGAAGAAGGCTATTGTCATGGTACAGGCTGGTTAGAGAGGTAAATGCAAATGTTAAACTTGACTTTCACAGATTAGAGTTTAAGAGAAATGATTATTATATATTATTATATACCTTCTGACTTTTAAAAAATTATGCATGATTGGCTAAATAAGAAAAGTCTAACAAATGTATCCATTTGTTTGGTAAAAGATTTGGAATAGCCACCCTATCTATTAGAATCTGTGTCCAGATTTGTGAATGGCTGATTTAATATTACAACTAATCAAGCTAGAATTGATTAAAATCAAACATATGGCTTCATTTTTAATTTTATCTTGCCTTCTCCCAAATGGAAGAGCCAAACTGAATATTTTGTTCTTAATATTTTTTCCCTTATTCAGTGTCCACAGCTGATTGATATTCTGAAATTTCTGGCCTATGAATATGAACTAACCCCTAAGCTTGATGCTTACAGAAGAATAAAAATAAAAATGGTTTCACCTATACCTCAGATTTCTACTTTGCTTCAAAACAGTTTCTAAAACAGAAACAGTGGTGGCCAGTATAGGAATGACATGGGATTTCATTTTTCCCTAACTCTTGGGATTCATGTAGTGTAAACATTGACTTTTCAGGACTGAATCTGAATGGACGACTGAGGGCAAATTCATCTTTATCTGTAAAACTGAGTAATAAAAGAGATAACTTTGGAAAATCCTGATGGTTAAGAAAAAGTGTTTTGGAAGAGAAACAGAAACAAAATAATGCAAGCATCTCTGATCCCAGTAAGATGTGAATTATAACCAGTAATAAAATCAACAGGTTGGAGAAGAACTATAGCACATTTCTGGCATCTCTAGTTAAAAAATCACCAGGTACTAGGATAGATCTTTCCCTGTCTGGACCCTTGAGAAGTGCAACAGAGAACAGTAGTTGGCTCTATTCGTCTACTGACTCTACCTAAACCTCAGTTAGAAAGTTGCTGGACGGCAGACACTTTCCTGTGATGTGTTCATAGTACACTGGTGTGGATCATACAAGACAATGAGGAGATGGACTGTTCTTGAACAAAGGGTGTGTCTGGATTATCTTTTCATCTCTTTCGACTTGGGGTGCTTGATACATTTATTGAGCAAACATTCTCTCAGGCCCAGCCCAAGAACAACGGTGAGACAGTCCAGTCGAGTACAGTTCCTTTATTTGCTTACACTTTATAGACAGAATCTTGCCAAACTAAATCTATACTACAGCAACTAGTAGATATACCCTGGGAGATTCTAGGGAGTGGCTACTCTGAATCTCTTACTCTTCTCATGCTCCCCCTGCAGACTGTGTTGCCTCTTGTCTCCTCTCCCCCCCCCGCAAGCAACCCCCCCCCCCC